TCCAACTTTAGAAGTAGTTAATAAGCAGCCTGGGGAATATCATTCAAAATTTGTACGATCACGAAAAATAATTGAATTAAATTGGATTAAAATATTACAGACAGTCTATCCTTGGTCTTAACGACAATATCATGGGAATTGGTAATATATCTAGAACAGATTCTGTTAACATTTTGGATATAGTTTCTAAAACAGTACGTAAAAACCGTTCTCATGTGCGTAGAATAAATCGCAATCAAAGAAAATTTCGTAATAACAATACAAATATTTCGGACCTAATTTCTATTTCAAAAAACAAGTAGACACTATCTATTAACCAAGCTCTGTTCTTTGCCTGTTAATAAATTACATCAAATTTTGGAGGAATGCAACACAATTCCATATTGCAGTCCTAAGCATGAAACCGTCCAAATTATAATTGCATATTGTTATTCTAAATTGTTTCCCAAAATTGATCGCCCTGAAGATCACCAAATTTTTTTATTAAAATTAAATATGTCAATAAAGGTTTTGATTTTGTAAATATTGTCGGTATTTTTAATGATCATGCTATTAAAGAACACATTCCTGGCTATTTTGATAATACTGAACTCCCTCTTATTTGTTATGTTTACAAAAAATCTATCCGGAAATATGTGTTTAATTACAGCAAAGTGTGTAAAGATGTTAATATCAGTGACAATACACCTACCTCATGAAATTGCAGTAAATCCGAATACATTTATGGCCCCAGTTCCCATGTTATAACAGGAGACCTTAACAACCTTTGTGACCGAGAGTTGAAATCATTTCTCAGTAAAGGACCTAGATATCGTCCCCCGTCAATTCTTAATTGGAATGAGTCATTCACGACTCACTCCGTACTTACTGCTCTAAATGAATAAAACGAGTAAAAGCTGACTAGAAATCATTAGATTCTTTTTTTAATTCGGTAATAAACATAGTTGATATACGTATTCAACATTTTAAAGACCATTTTACTCCTAACAACAACCATAATAGCCCAATTTCTAGTATCAAACACAAGCTAAAAGAACTCGCCAAGGAATATATTTATGTCCCGGCTGATAAGGCTGCTAACAATATCATTATTGTTTGACGTAAATTTTACATTGATGTTCTACAAAAGGAAGTCACGAATTCACCAACATTCTAACGGACTCCATTTTCGGAAAATGACACCTGTAACAAACATAAACTTTTAGCTACCTCTTTTCAAGCAGAACCAAATACAATGAAAGTTCCAACTATGAACTGGCTTCCGAAGCTGCATAAAACTCCATACAAATATAGATTTATTTCGTCTTCAAGCCATTGTTCCACTACTAAACTATCTATTCTACTTACTAGTACACTTGGTACAATAAAAAACCTAGTAATAAATTGTTCAAGTAAGGCCTTTGAAAATAGTGGAATTAATTACTTTTGGAGTGTCAAAAATTCGTTGAAAGTACTTGACGGGAAGCTTAATACCAAAATTTATGATAAAAGAGATGATTTTTCATTTCCTATTGTTAATTATCCATTTTTAGATGGTGACGTTCCCTTGTCGCCATCATATGGTGTTTATATATCTCAACTTGTTCGATTCGCTCGTGTATGTAACAACGTATTTGATTTCAACGAAAGAAATCTCTGTATTACTGAAAAATTATTACACCAGGGTTTTCGATATCACAAACTAGTCAAAACATTTATTAAATTTTATAATCGGTACAAGGACATCATTCGTAAATATAAATCAACATGCAAACATCTTATACGTTCAGGTATTTCACATCCAATATTTTATGGTAATATTCTTTACAAAGCACAAAAATGTCGGCATTCACCTCAAAAGCTAACCAAACCTTAAAACAGACTTATTCGGAAAGGATATAGTTACGATACTGTTGTCAAGTCATTAAGGATTGCATATTTTGGTATTAATATTGATTCACTCATACGGTCTTTGCATCGAAAATAAACACATTTATTCTAAAACCAGTTGTTGGCATGATGCGGGTTATGTTCTTCTCATATATTTTATGATGGTATGATACTAAACCCCTAACTGGAGGGATTGTACTTGATTTTCATATGATGAAGACATAGTCTTTCAATCAGTTTAACTGAGGTCTGGAGCTGGCATGTTAGTAACTGCTAGTAGTGCTTTGTTCATTTATGTATCATTGTCATTTTGCTTAGTTTCTTATGTTACCTATTCTGACATCGGACTCGGACTTCTGTTTAAACTGAGTTTTACTGTGCGTGTTGCTATGTGTTTCTTTATTCTACATTGGCTAGAGGTATAGGGGAAGGGTTGAGATCTCACAAAACATGTTTAACCCCGCCGCATTTTTGCGCCTGTCCCAAGTCAGGAGCCTCTGGCCTTTGTTAGTCAGTATGTTTTTTTAATTTTAGTTCATTTATATGTTTTGGAGTTAGTGTGACGTCCATTTTCACTGAACTAGCACACAATTTTAGTTAGGGGCCAGCTGTAGACCACCTCCGAGTGCGGAATTTTCTCGCTGCATTGAAGACCCATTGGTGGCCTTCGGCTGTTGTCTGCTCTTTGGTCGGGTTGTTGTCTCTTTGACATATTCCTCATTTCCATTCTCAATTTTAAGTCATTTATCTAAATAGTTTACTCCTTTAACTCAATATAACTATAACTACACTGAATTGCAAATCGTCATGAAATACCTCAGTAATTACCTTTGTTTCAACAGAAGTAAACAATTATACACTTTAAAATAGGTAAATGCTTTTGTGTAATCATGTTCAAAGAAACATGTGGCAATAATTAATATAATAAGAATTTCAAAATTATAAGAAACAAAATCTAAAATCGCCAGTAGAAAATTTATCCAAAACAAACATATAAAAATATTATTTCTTAAAGCTCCCGAAATTGGCATCTATATAATTCCAATAGAGTGTTTTTCAACTTGTTCTAAAATTATCACATGAATGAGAAGCTAATGTTACGCCATTTTGTCAGGTCAAACATGTAATTTAGCTTGGCATTTAAAATAATTCTTTATTAGTATAGATCTAAAAGGTAAGTTTTTACACATTTTTATATTATATAAACTCTGACACAATAAAGTAAGATAAAAGAAATAACAATGATACTTTAAAATGTATGTGTCCGACGCGCTTTTCTCAAATCTAAATATGCGAAAGCCAAGAATGTATAAGTACCGAAATACGTGAGAAGTAATATGCAGAAAAGGGACCAGAAGGGAAATTATATTCATTTTAGATTAAGTTTGCTTCAGTGAGATGAAACCTTAGTTTCTAAATAATTCAAATTAAGTAACTTATGTTCAAATTCCTGCAGGAAAAGTCAAATTTGTCTATATTGTTTAGGTCCATTTAGGTCATATAGCTCATAACGTTCCATCGCTTGTACGCATCCCTGGCTTTCATAGTAAAGTTTGAGTGTTCCTATTGCAGGTATATCCAAACTCAAAGATCGAAAGAACCTGTGTTGCTCCCTTAAGTCTATGTGCATCTTCATCATGGAAACTCGCCAACATTTTAGACGTGAATATTATTCATTTTGTGTTGCACCTGTATTGCTGATCAATTTTTCTGTAAGTTTCTCTATCTTCTATAGTTGTTTTTCTAAAACACAAACAAGAGTTAAAATCGTCTTTAGATCACTCCTATCTAAAGACAACTGGAAAATTCATTTGCATGTTAGCTGACCTATTGACAGATCTTTTCTTGCTGGTTATTTTAGTTTTTTATAGTTTCTATTTATCTATCATAGTTTTCAAGATAATAGACAAAACAGAAATTAGGCACCATTCGTCATGTAAGGGCAATAACACCTACAAGAAGTCATCTGACAGTTTTGACTTTAATAGACAGAGAGTAGATCCCATTGTTCTTAACATTTTTACCCCAGTCAGATTTTCTCTGTCCATAGTGGTTTTCAAAATAATAGACAAAACTTGCATCTCACCCCTATGTTCTATTTAAAGCCATGTCGGCCATGTTGGTTGGCAAGTGGGGTCATCGGACACATTTTCAAAACTAAATACCCTAATGATGATTGTGGTAAAATTTGGCTCAGTAGTTTCAGAGGAGATGATCTTTGTAAAAGTTTACGGACTACAAACAACGAAGACGATTGACGACGACAGACGATGGACAGCGATAGCAAAAGATAGCAATGGCCCTTTGGGCCAGGTGGGCTAAAAAGAGAAAAACGATTCAAACGATTCGGACACACACAATCTTTTCAGTGTTTATCTCATTTACTAGCAGTGGGTTGATACGGTTGTTGATGGACTGTCCACGAGGTTATCATCTGCTCAGTAGTTAAATGTCTCCTTTAATTTCATTCTACTCTTTATACACAAAGCGTTTAGAATACATCACTATGATTCATATTTGCTTAATCCTTATTTTCCTATGTAGCATTTTGCTATTGTAATATGTCTTTTCGTAGTTTTCTTTTTTGACCATAGAGTTGCTTGTTGTCTAGGCATGATATCGATAGGTTATATGTTCCTTCTGTATCGAGAGTTTGGTTTACATTTGTTACATAGCGCTGTAACAAGTGTGATATATCCATAAATAATAATATATAAAACAAAATAACGGACATTTGCAAATTTTACTTATTTTATAAACAGGAACAAGGCAGATGCATTTCCGCGCAATGTTACTCTAGTGCAATAAAATATTATAAAAATATAGCAAATCCTGTTATTAATGTAAATTCAGTAAAAACCTACAACTTTGATTCAAGACAATAAGACTTCGTTTATTGCTTTGTTCAAATCATTACATTCCTATGAAACATATCTTACAAACAACTGAGGATTTTAGATGAAACATGTTTTAAAAACCTTTATCTCATAACTAAATCTAAAAAATCTTTAGCCTTGTTTCATTTGAAAACTTGACGTGTCTCATATTTAAATGCAAAGATAAATATAAATATTTGAATGTGCTTGTAAAGTTAAATTTTTTAAAGCCATTACCTAACTTGTAATGTATTTTGGTCTCTTTTACTCCTAGAACTGTTATCATCTTTGAAATGACTTCTCAAAGTAATAAGGTCGTTCTAAAACGTTCTTCCGTTGATGTCCTATTGGATCATAAACCGTCATCTGAAATAAAAGATGACCACACGACTTGTATTGGTAAATCTGAAAACCTATCAACGCTGGGAGATGAAGAAAAACAACTAGACAATGATAATTTGCAACGAACTCGTTCTATCTTTTCTATCAAACAAAACATTCGTCGACCAATAGTTATTGACGGATTGATTATAAACAAAACGTCGGTAGGTACCATAAAGGAATTAGATACTATACAGGAATTAGGTACTATACAGGAATTAGTTACTATACAGGAATTAGATACTATACAGGAATTAGATACTATACAGAAATTAGGCAACGATACAGTAGTTGATGCAAGTTTAAATGATTCTTTTATTTCTGAACAAAATTCTTATTTCGAAGGCAAGAAAATAGGAAAAAGTGAAACTAGTGCCGCCAGCTATTACGTTGGCTGTATTGAATGTGTTAAAGCAATACCTGTTTTCAACTCTGAGGAAATTGATGAAGGTGATCACATTGTTTTTGCAGGCATGATATATGATCATCATGCGATAGTTGTTAAAAAGCTACAGGACGAAACGTTTGAAATAGTAGAGGCTACAAATACAGGTATTGGGGTTGCTACAGGTGTGTTCCTTTGCAGAAAAGCTCTCATTAAGTCATCAGTCAAATCCTTTAATTTTGCAACAGACAATCTTCATGTTGTGGTCTACAATTTCAGGAAACATTCCAAAAAAGCTACAGCTGAATGTGCTAGGAATTATTGTGATGAAACGGCAAAGGGAACAACATATAAGTATAACCTTCTCGATAACAATTGCGAACATTTTGCAACATTCTGCGTCACAGGAAAACAATTTAGTATCCAGGTAACGAAATTAAGATTAACCTCTCGTCTTTTTTTTAAAAGTGGCTTTCAAGGGATAAGTAATGAAATGAAACGAAATGAAAAAGAATTCGAAAATGGGATCATCTGCGAACAATGTTTCAATATTAACAAAACGTTATTAGACGTAAAATTACGACCTATAAAGAAAGCTGAAGATGTACAGAAAGGGGACATAATTAGGTACAGTTATTGGCACTTGTGGCACGAAGCTGTTGTCTTAAGCATAGAAGATGATAATAAATCCTATCTTAAATGCTACATTGCTCATTATGCGTTTTGTGGACTCTTTTCATATAGGACAATTATTAAAGAAGAACTGAAAATACATTTTGATGGCACATTTACTATGTTGGAATACGGACCTCCAAAATACGACACATATGACCCGGATGTTGTCGTAAATAGAGCACACAAGAGAATAGGGGAACAACTGTTTGTTTTCTTTTCAAATGACTCAAGTCATTTTGCTCGGTGGTGTAAACTGAAACTAAAGAAGGAATGATCAGATGACTTACATAAATGGAACTAGATAAAAGACAGAAGGTAGAATATTGAGTAAACTATGTGAATCAAAATCCCATGTCAACCAAAATATAAGAAACCAATTTGTATAGGTTATTATAAGCTTGACAGAAAGAGACGAAGATGATTTATTAAAAAAAAATCATCTGGGCAACATAAACAAAATACAATATTTTTTTATCATTGTCTATTGTATATATCACCTTGCATTAATGCATCTCTGACTACTACTCTAAGTACAAATTTTAGAATATCTGTTTGTTTGTTCTTGAATTAGAAGTTTTGTTATGATTGGAAATTCATCTTTGCACATCTAAATTGTTACGTTATATATGCTATCAAAAATACGCCAATCTATGGATATATATATATATATATATATATATAACTAAAATAATTTAACGGACATACAGTTTGTATTGGCCGTCAAAGCAGTCAATAATGATGTAGTGGTATGACATAAATACAACACGAAAGAATGACATTATGATTTTTTTACAGTCATGACCGTCCGCTCCATAGAGAGTCAAAAAGTAATCAAACATGTCACTGCCACATTTTACGGCATGCTTTGAATGTAAAAGTCATTCTTTTAACGGTTATATAACAGTCAAATGTCAGCATCTTGTAGGATAACTTTTAACTAAAATAAAAGAACTTGTTAATAACTTTTGTAATACTTAGTAAAGCATATGAAAATAATTGAATTAATTATTTGTATGATAGTAAATAACTGGATGTTTTAGATAAATTATGTGCTTTGTGTCATATCGAACGGAAATTTGATGTTTTGGAATCAATCGAAAGCCTAGGCGTTTTTATTATGATTAGAACACTGTTAGAAAACATATATTTCATTGATCAATCAAACATTGATTTCTATCGTCCCCCAGATAAATTAACCTTCATCTTACGTAATTAATAGTTAACATATGTTTCTCTTTAAACTATAGTTTCTATCATTTTCATTTTTATCTTTTTAAATAATATTTTATGTCGTGATATTTACCGATTCTTTTTTAAATATCAGAATTATTTTCCATTACTGTGGACTCATTAATATTCGTGGGATACCAATTTTCGTTGATTTCGTGGGTTAAGGTAAACCACGAATTAAGATGTTCAACGAAGTACCAATTATCTATAGGATTGTATGCAGACTTTGGCAAACCACGAAATCAAATATCCACAAAAATACAATTTTTCCCCAATCCACGAAAATTGGTACCCACGAATATAAATGAATCCACAGTATTATGTTTAATAGATCATTTGCTAATCGTTTAGATCACTACTCTCAGTAGAAATCTCTAAACCGTATCTGTTTATTAAGATATGATTTTAATATATATAAATTTGTACTTAACAACTCAATTATAAAATAAAGTTTTCCTATCCCCTTTTATTTTCATTTACACCAAGACGTCGTTAAATGAAATTTGGTACCCTGCATTTATTATGCTTTTCAGTAACATATGGTCAAATTGCCGAAAGACCCCCTCCTTAATTATTGAAAACTATCATTCTGAATTGACAATAATAGGTGCATCTAATACGTGTGTTGTGGCAATGTCATATAGTCTGCATGGTGTAGTTCTCTAACCTTTTGTTATAGTTTTACACATAATACATCGTTGATCATATATATTTTATTTGTTACATTTATGGAATTAAACATGTCATTCTTTATTCTTTCAATTCAAACAACACTCTGACCTATCACTAGTATTCATAATAAAGTTTAATATAAGTAGATGTAATCGGTATAATACCAACTATCTTAGTGAATCAAAAGATTTATGATAGATAATGTTCAACTTCAGGTTTCATCAGACAGAAACCTTTACAATTTCCAAGATTTAGATAAAACACCTGCAATAATAATTTGATATATCATTATGTATCCCATTTTATTTTATTTTTTTTCATTTTTTTCTTCACTAGACTGTTTTATTACATAAACTAGTTTAATTGTAAACATTCGACACTTAAGAAGCGATCACAATTTTTGTTAATAATGTTGAAAGGTAATTCCTGGGATGTCTGTTTGGTGTTCTCAACTATTGGCCATTCCTTACACATCGTATAGGTGTCTTGTTTATGAAATACACAACAATATAAAACGAGAAAATGTGGTATGATTGCCAATGAGACAACACCCCCCCCCCCTAAAAAAAAATTAAAAAAAACAACAACGTAGAAGTCAGCAAATATAGATCACCGTACGGCCTTCGACCATGAGCAAAACCCATACCATATAGCAAGCTTTTAAAGGTCCCGAAATGACAAAAGTAAAACAATTCAAACGAAAAGGCTAACTGCCATTTAACATAAAAAACATTAAACGAAAAACAAATATGATATACATTAGGCACATGCAGAATTCGCGGGTTTAAACATGCATGAATGAATTCTGTAATAAAATATAATTCTATTATATTCTTCATACAAGCATTATTTTTCCAAAATCTGTGACATAGCCCATTTACTGTTCCTTGACCTAAACTCTTTTCCACATTATATTTTTAAAAAGAAAGACAAAGAAGAAAAATGATACGATATCAAGGGATAGGATTTCACACATTATAAAACAAGATTTACCAGTGCAAACTACTGTTTGTTCACATTGAGCTTGTTGTGCAATCTCAGGTGCGCTATGATACGTTGAATTAATTACAAAACATAACTGCCATTTGTCAGTCATGAGATGTGCAATCGCAATCCTTGTCTTCAATGTGAGTGAAATGTTTGCGCCTGCACGAAAGAGCTTAGTAATTAAAAAAAAAAACGACTAAGTCTTTTCATTAAGAAAATCATGTTTACGCATAAAGAATCGAATGAAAATAATTTTCACACGAGCAGGGTAACTTATACTCTTTGCACAAAACACAATTTTATCCCACGGAAAGAACAAATGTCGTAAGGTTTAATAAAGCGAGAATTCTCAAAAAAACACTCAAAACGAACACACTGTATATGGTATAATAGAGCCGGATGTCATTTTGGTAAATAATTGATATCAAATAACTGTCCGATTTTAGTTGAAATGCACGTTTATAATTCTATGATAACAAATACACATTGTACATGCATGTATTGAATGTAGTCATCATCAAGGTAAATCTTCGACTTGTTTAAAACCAGGTAAAATTACAGAAGACCTTCACATTTTAAGGATATTGTTATCTATTTAAAGATATAAATACTGGATGGTTTATAACATTTTTATTGACTCCGCAAAAGATCTTATCTCTAAAAAGACTGTTTTTAAATTAACTAAACAACAAGTCACAGTTTTTGTGACATATTGCCAACTTATATAAGCGAAGACATTAACGTGATTCATAGCAATGATAGCGTTATAAAAATGAAAGGAATTGTTGTTTCGATATTGATTACAATACCAATTCTTACTTCCGCATTTTACACGCGTCAGTCGCCAGATAGAAGGACTAAAACTCATGAATCCATGACTGAAATAGGAACATTGCAGGCACTGTCAAGTTATATTTGGAAAAACAAATTGAAACAGATTGGCTCTGAAATATCAGCTGTAGAAGTCTTTTACGAAAAAGGTCAGTTGCCTTCTTAAAGCTAGTATTAACTATGTATATGTCTATGTATATGTACAAGATAGTCTGGAACGGTTAGAGACGTTTGCGCTTTTTGATAGGACATTTGCGCATTATTTTAAAAGACATAAAAATTGTTGCACACGATATCATTGAGATAAAGAATGCTTTGTCGTAACAGTACTACTTACGTACGCCTTAATCAAATTACTTTTTTTTAATTTGAATTGTCGCATTATTGACCCTTTGACATAGGACCTTGGTTAAATATAAGGGTCAAAATAACTACAAAACTTTAAAAGTTTTCAAATTTTTTCTTGACATTTAAATTTTAGATGCTACCAGTAAAATAGAAATGCGGAAATCAATAAATGCCATTGTACAGGCAATTGCTGATACACAAGTGGAAAAGCAGGATACCGCCTACGTGCATTGTCATGCTGATCAAATATTACTAGGTAACAAAATATTAAATGTATATCCAAAACATACTTCCTCGGTGGATGTCTCGCGCTATGTTATATGGATGTGATCTTGATACTATACCTAACTTGCTGTGGGTGGTTTAATCGCAATCATGGTTATACCGATGGCTGTACAGGTATTAAACTGGCATTTGTTGCTTCTCTAATAATCACGTACAGTTTAGCAGAAAGAACAAACAAACTGCTCGACTCGTAGTCATAATGTCATATGTAATTAAATGTCAAAATGTCTAAATGGATAGGTTAACATATGTCTTCCTGGAGACTTAAGTTCGTAAACTAGCATGTTAAACTTAACGTATCAGTCTAGTATAAAGCAGTATATATATTTACATTATTCTGTGGCTGAACGTTTCACTGCCAAACACTTAATTAAACATATATCAAGGGGAGGCAAGCGTTCATGATCAACCAAATCTGTATGTTCATCTAACTCAGTTAGCTGAGACATTGATTGGCGTAAATACAAGAATACTCTGTATTCATTTCTGTGGTTTGAAATTTGGTCATAGATCAATATAATATACATATCAGTAAATATTTTGATATGTTTTTGATATGTAAAAAATTCAAACATCACATATGTTATGTAAATTAAAATCAAACATCTACCAAACAGTGTCCTTATCTCGTTATATTAACTAGAAGTACGTCTAACAGCCTACACAATTTACAAAACTTTACAATGAATTAAAAAAATATTATCATAAATTTTCAACTAAAACTGTATACTGAGCTGTGTATGTTGTAGATGTTCATCAATTATATTTTTACAATTCAACAAAACATGATGTGTTCATGTGAAAGACAGTGCTGATTTTTTTTAGAATAAAGTAAAACGGACCTGAATAGCAAAGTAAATTAAACTTGTCGACTTGTTGAATGCAAACTGTCGAATGATTTAAATTCCCACCCGGAATACAGCGGGTATCACTACGCATAATACCGGTATTAGTTACATAGTGTGCTATTGACCTAACACGATATGTATGGGGTCAGTAAATTTGCTCTCGCCCCACATGGAATTTATTGACCCCATATATATCGTATTCGGTCACTAGCACACTACGTAACGATTTTATATTACCGACTATCTTAACATGTGGTATTTAGACTAGTGGCCTATCAAAGTGATTAAGTCTTCAATACCGTAATTTTAAGAACCTACTTCCATTGGTCCATACAAAAAAAAATGCCAACAATAACAACTTTTTAGTTTTAAATGTGTTTTATGAATTTATTTCAGTCGTTCATCATCAATTTCTTCGTCTGTTGAAACCTTTAAGATTTTTCCTCAACACCGTGTTGTTTTTATAAAGGGACGTAACACCACCACTAACCGTATATTGAAATAAGCCCCGCCTACTAACCTGATATGGAATAAACACGGTCTCCACGCGGTTGCTTTTAACCAACCATATACCTAGAAGTGTATAGGCGGTAAGATAAAAGAACTTATTCGGCCTTGTAACAAACAAAAATATTGGATGGAAACGTAAGCGTATTTGATAAGATTGAAACAATATTTTCTTAAGAAATCTTAAGCGTCTTCCATTATTATTGTTATTTTGCCAGAGATTAGCATTTATACTTTACCTCATTTTATATTTGTATAGAGTAATGAAACGTTTTTAACCTCGAAACCAAAAATGTCTGTCTTAAAACGAGACAGGTTTGTAAGTTCCTACACATATATTTTTTTTAAATGAAAAAGAAATATCAGCTTGCCTTTTTTTGTTAAATCGTTGCCAATGATAATACATTCTTCCAAGGAATTTTAGAATCTCAGCAGCAATACCGTTAGATAAAAAGTAAAATAACAAAAATACCGAACTCCAAGGAAAATTCCAAACGGAAAGTCCCTTATCAAATGGCAAAATCAAAAGCTCGAATATATCAAGCGATGGAAAACAACTGTCATGTTCCAGCCCTGGTGCAGGCATTTTCATTACAGGATATTATACATAACTTACGTACCATTTGAATAAATAAAGACCGTCAATGAAACAGTCACCCTTTAAATCAGTAAAATTAGAAAACGTAATGTATACAATAAGTAGATCATACATACTCAGCTAATTTTACAGCTCATCGACATGTGATATCGTGTAGGGATAAACTCAGCCAATTGAAAAACGATGCAGTGGAGCTGCGAAAGCAGTTGGGAGAATGTCTTTATACTGTGCAGTCGTTTTACAGCAACACAAACTGGGTCGAAATGTACGGTGCAGTGCCTTATGAAGATTTTGGTAAGTGAGGAAACAACATTTAAGATAAACAAATCCACACGATAAAAATAAAATTAAAAGTAGGTGAAAACTTGAGATAAAGGTGAACCTTATTCAAATAACACTCAACTACACAAATCAATAATACATGTATTAATGGTTTACTTTGAATGTGTGTTCTTTGAAAGAAGACACACACTTTCACGCGTGGGAATTTGCGCAAAACAAAAAATGCTGACCACTTTAACCATACAAATACTTTCGAAATATCATTTATTCCGATAAATGATGTAAAATACCACAACACATTGAATTTCTGCAGATGACATAGAATTTAACTTCAACAAGAAATTTCCATAATTGTGAAAATGTAGGTAAGACAATGATAATTTTATCTTTTATCCTTTTGCCTTGACGTCACAATCACAATATCAGAAGAAAGCAAGAAAATATGACGTCATAATAACCTTTTGACCAATGAACAAAGTTGAGATCAAACGAACCACACGTTGATTTAAAAAATAATGATCAATACGTTGGGAAATTTTTAAATATGTTAAGAATGTAATTTAGAGAAATTGCTATTTATGTTCATTGCATATACTTGTCTACATATGATCTCTGTCATGCGTATATTGTCCTTTGTACTCAATATCATCTAGAATATTTTGTGTATGAAAGCTGCATACAAAAATAAAAATCATTAATTTCTGAATATGAATTCACGAAAGTGTAGGTATTAAAGGGAAGAGACTTATGGCAGTAGCTCTACCAGAGGAAGATACATGTAAAGATGTCAAAAATACAGAGTAAGTCGTGTATGCTCTTTACATAATATGACAATTAAATGTTATAAAAAGAAAACATCACATTTTCACAGGGAGTAACCCGTTGTCTCGTGTACAAATATCCCACAATCTTCAATCATAAAAGACAAAAGAAATAAGTTGATTGCCGCATTTCGATAACATAATTTAATTCATTGCTAGCAAAATATATGATAAATGATGCACTTGATTAAAGACCAATAACTATATAGGATAATTATTATACAAAGGTCCATTGCGTATGAATACATAAATTGTTTATTACATCAGTAACGTAAGAACTACTTTTGTAAAACATAATTTACTGAAAATCGTTTATATTTAACTAAAGTTGGGTTACTATCATTGTAATATAAATCAGCTTTTCTGCTTAATTTTTATTAAAGACTTTGATATAGATGTCTTTTGAGAGTTTTGATTTAATTTTAGAATTGTCGTAATTTATCCAGACTCTTTCATATTGTTCGTAAACATGTTTTGGTATTATTCTGTACAAATAATTTGGACTGACATTTTCAATGTGTATTTGTAGTTTAAATTGTGAACAAAATATTATAGTAAAAGACAAGTTAACCAGTGGTTACCATCATGGAAGGGGAAACACAAAACCTACAAGTACGATTAGTTCATATATGTCATTGTAGCGCAAAAAGTTATCAAAGGAGAATTAAGTAGCGATGCAAAATAAAAACAATTTCTATGGTTGCGATCGACATCATGATTTTCTACCGTAGAATGTAAATTAATATATTATGAGATTATTTGTATAAAAATACCAGCCAATAAATTTGCAATAGAGGCAACACGTTCGACATTGTTTTCCTGTTTCAGAAGTCTTTGCACTTCATTAAATCAAAAAGTGAATACACATTTTAAAATGTGTATGCCAACCAACCAATGAAGTCACATAATGATATAAAAAAGGGTAACAGAAATCACAATGAATATTGGAAAGCACCCGACTCCACCAACAAAAATAATAGACATACAAAGAAAGACAACCAACAACGATAAAAAAAAACGGTCTAGATGATTAACATGGTACAGATACAAAATGTAGTAGGGTTAAACCCGTTTTAGATGCGCACGAAACCGTCCCACCTTTTTACCCATATAGATCACATTATAAGTTATTTTCAATGATGAAATAATTTGGTAGACGTTATGATTCATTATACTTAAAATTATTAATTTCCACGGCTTTTATTCTCTACATAAAAACAATTGCATGTTTAATAAACTAATTTTATAGGACCACCAGGTGCAACCACTGGAAAATGTAGTCATGGCGGGCCGTACGACGAAAGTCGTAAAATGGTAGCAAAATGTGGAATAAACAAGGAAACATTTAAAGAACATTTATCTCCACATTATTATCTTCATTATCAGGCATATCTATCTGCTGTAGCCGCAACTAAAGACTTTCTAATAATGGAAGGTATTTGAGATTCATTTGGATAGTTACAATGTATTTAGTCTTGTGAATGACTCAATACTTAAAATTCAACTGCGTAAAGTTTAGATTACAGGAATTATATATTGACAAAATTTTGATGACTTTTACAGGCAAATTTGACCTCAGATGGATTTGACCAGAAAAGCGCTTCGAACACATATAATAAACAAAGTGTTATCTCTTTTTTACTCGTAATGATCAATTATTTTCATATTGTGATGTTGCTGGTATAGTTACAAATACGTACTGGTGTCAACATTATTTTTCTAAATAACTTATAACGTATTTGTAATCCCATGAAAATTGAATGGTCAGCATTTGAAGAAAGAGGTGTTTACCTTGTTGACGCACCACCTTCAAAATTTAAAACGTTCAAAGTTGAAACATATCTACTCAACACATGTTGCAACAATAAGGAACTTAAAGGATTGTCTTGCGCTTTTGAAACTGCGGAGTCATGTCTTAAGTGTTACTATGATTATATTAAAATCGTGCAAACTGATTAGATAAAGGTTAACTGAAATAAAATAGCACTAAAAAGTTAGAAATTTAAATTACAATAGTGTAGCTAAGGGACCCAACGATTTCTGATATCATAGCTATATATATAGCGAACCTTTTTTTGATATTTAACGTTTTATATTTAAGACACTGGTATTCTTAGTTTGCTTGGAAGTAAAACGTTCGACGAAATATTCCACATCAAAACGAGAAAAGATTTGTCACTAGCGTTTGTCATAGACTATTCAAGTTCCATGGGGGAAGAAATTGTTGCTGTTAAAGAAAGAACAATTCAACACGTGACTGCTACAATCGGTTCTGACAATGAACCAGCTGATTATGTATTATCGCTGTTTAATGATCCAGGTTCGAAAATGTAAAGGTTATTGATTCAAATAAGACATCTTGAAAAATAACATAGTATTCCGATTCGCAGCCTAAAATTCGTTTAAACTAGAAACAAGAGAACAGTATATTTATCATAAATCTGCTAAAATTAAACGTGCAAATGGAGAGTTGTCTCATTGGTACTCATATCACATCTTCTTATTTTTAAATATCTTATTTTCTTAAAACACGTAAGTCTCAATTAAGAAAAAACATATCTGAAAAATTTAATTTTGGATGTAACACGTCTTCTGATTGGCTGAACGTGTTTTGTCTATAAGCTCATAGACATTATTTTGTCATGTGACCGTGACGTCATCAACTTTTTTATCATGATTTACTCCTGTTTAGAATTAAATCATAAGGAATGACTGTAAAAATTTTCTGTCTATTCGAAATAACCTAAAAAATGTGGTGCACACTTTTGAATAACTTGCGTAGTATTGTAATAAGAAAATTATGGACGACGTTGATATCCGTATTGTAGATGTTATGTAGTAGGTTGATGTGCTGATGGGTTATTCCTTCTGGACCCATACTCTCAACAGAAGAATGTCTCTGTGAGAGTTGGTACTTGATTTTTACATGATTGGGGAACTAGCTGTGGACAATTCCTTGGATGATCTATGGAATTGCTGCCGATGTAGAGGCAGGCCGGGCGTTGTTGTCGATGTAGAGGTAAGCCGGGATCGACTGACACCTATAAGTTTCAAAATTCAAACCTTTGATGTCTCAAAACAGAATGTTTACTTATATAGCAATCATTTATTTGATGGTATGCCAACATCACTTTCTTTGTCAGCATAAAATTAGAAATTATCAAATATGGTTATTGTCCGAAATAGGATCGACATGTTTTATAAGTAAAATTAATGTCCCGTATATAATAGAGAGAGAGGTCACTTTAACAATGGTGATGATAAATAAACTTTACTTTACCGGAGAACAAATGGTATAAAACGTGATAAACATAAAATCGAAGGAATAATTGTAACGTCATCTATATCCAAAATTTATGTCAAATATTTTTCACAATATATCACTCTCCTTAGAAATTTTGGACTCCAAAATTAATAAATTAAACATTTTAAAGAAATTGCATACAATTTTATGTTTACTATATCAATCTGAAGGATTTATAACTTTTAATTATTAATGTAAGTAAATAATCAATATCCATATCTTAACATCAAAACAATATAGAAGACAAGCAATTGAGAAGATTGCGATGCAAAAAAAAAAATTAAGTATAGTATTTTGTTTTTGATTTTAACCGATAAAAAAAAACTTGAACTTATTTTTTTTCAAATTTTTCTCTTTTTTTTTCATTTTTTGAGACTTCATGTTAATCATACTATTTAGTTGGTGGTTTTATTCTAAATCTTTATAAATTAATTGATGTGAATGATTTTAAAATACTATTAAGTATTAATTTTAAATCGTTGTTCTTGAAAGTTTGTTACCCGCATGCTTTCAATTGAACGTTTATCTTGACAGTTGATGAAATTTAATTAGAAATATATGCAAAGTGTTTAAACAAAATGTTGAAAAAATACATGAAGGATGAATACACATGAATAAATCTTAAACAGAATTTGATTTTGCTTACTTCAGTCTCTAAGTTACTGTTTTATTCGTTTTGTGGCGTTCCTGCTCCTGAGGTAGCCCATGCGTATATGTTTTATGGCGTTCCTGCTCCTGAGGTAACCCATTAGCATTTATGCTAATGCTTGTGGCGTCCCTGTTCCTGAGGCAGCCTATGCAATATGTGTGCCTATATATATATATATATATATATTAAGTTATTTTAACTTTCGTATAAGATTATCCAACAGTTAACGGCAACAAGGATTTGTCAAACTTGTTCCTAATAGGTAACTTACAAACAAGGAAATTCACTTTATGCAACCCTAAATGAAAGTTGAACCTAATCTTAAAGATGACTGATTGCAAATGATAATATTGACAAGCATTTGAAATACAAACAAAGATCAAATTAATATCATTCTGAAAGTTATTCAATAAAACAATGATTTAAATGAATAAATTTTACAACATTTTATCAAAAAATAATTTTATAACTTATTTTAACAGTATTTTAGTAAAGTCTTTTTTTTAAATTTTAAGGCATGAATCGCAATACGATTTGTGAAATGAGTATGAACATTTTGTTTCATAGCTGAAAATTTTAGATTTAAACTTAGATTGTAAAATAGATTTTAAATAAGCATTTGATATACTCACAGTTTCATGAAAACATATGTTTACAATAAAAATACACAACAATATAACTTTAAAGTTATTAATGTCACTGGTGTTGATAAAAGTTCTTCTTTGAAAATAATGCATTATATATATGTTCTTTGATATTCAGCTGGTGTCGTTGTTCAATGGTGTATTCTGATAAATTCACAAATAAATCATTTACTGGAAATACATATAAAATTAAATAGTCCGAACGGTACAAAAATAATGTTCAAATGTAAATATTCCGGTTCGAATTGTCGAAACACTGTCTTATTCTAACATGCTGTAAGGTCTGGATGTCGATGTTTGGTGTCAGCTTTTAAATGTCGTCCACCAATTTATTGTAATAAATGATGTTGGTGTCAGCTTTGAAAGGTCCTCCGCCATATATTGTAATAAGAAAATTATGGACGACGTTGATATCCGTATTGTAGATGTTATGTAGAAGGTTGGTGTGCTGATGGGTTATTCCTTCTGGACCCATACTCTCAACAGAAGAATGTTTCTGTGAGAGTTGGTACTTAATTTTTACATGATGGGGGAACTAGCTGTGGACAATTCCTAGGATGATGCATGGCATTGCTGCCGATGTAAAGGCAGGCCCTTTGTTGCCGATGTAGAGGCAGACCGGGCGTTGTTGTCGATGTAGAGGCAGGCCGGGATCGACTGACACCTATAAGTTTCAAAATTCAAACCTTTGACGTCTCCGAACAGAATGTTTACTTATATAGCAATCATTTATTTGATGGTATGCCAACATCACTTTCTTTGTCAGCATAAAATTAGAAATTATCAAATGTGGTTATTGTCCGAAATAGGATCGACATGTTGTTTAAGTAAAATTAATGTCTCGTATATAATAGAGAGAGAGGTCACTTTAACAATGGTGATGATAAATAAACTTTACTTGACCGGAGAACAAATGGTATAAAACGTGATAAACATAAAATCGAAGGAATAATTGTAACGTCATCTATATCCAAAATGTATGTCAAATATCTGTCACAATAGTAGCACCACATTTTTGATGTTATTTCTTCATAGACAGAAAAAATATTACAGTCATTCCTTAAATAAACTGGGAAGGCCACAGATACAAGTGTAAGTCAAGTGTCCATATTGCTTTATTGTCATAGTGTTATTCAATATGTGTAAAAGAGCGGTAAAAGTTAACAAAGGGATATTTCAAACCTATAAGTCTATGGCAAAAAAAAAAGAAAAAACAAGTCTACAAATTAAACATAACATATGTTATATAAAAGCTAAAGACTGAGCAATAAATCTATACATTACTGAATTAATATTATTCACGGCAATTTTTGATTCAGTTTATTTACTTTCTTAGTCACAATGAATGAAGCATTTGTGTTTAGGGACGGGTATGAAATGATTAAGAAAATCGACGGTATCAAAGTAGCTGGAGGTGGTGACTGCCCTGAATTTGCAGCCGATGGTATTTTGAAAGGTAAACATCAAGTGAATTAGTTTTACATTATATAATACGTAACACCATATATTGTATCTATCTACCATTAAAATCGAATAATAACATTTTACTGCACCAGATACGCATTTCTACCATTAATGTCTCTTCAGTGATGATAGAGGTCCAAAATATAAGAAACTCCAAAGACTAACGCTAAATTTGAACAGGCTGATACATTTTGTATAATCCATAATGATAAATAATATATATTCAAACCAAGTCAAGGAATCACAGCTTACTAATAGGTCAATCAAATTAGAAACTAAGAAAAAAAAACACCATTTAAGTCGTCTTTTTTTAATTCCAAAAAACTACTTTTTGGAGAATCAATTAAAACTAACTTAAACTGTATCATTCGATTTCTGCCGTTGTGCTATTTGCTTAAAGGAATTTTTCTGCAGTTTAAAAAAGATATGTGTATATGATGATTTGTAAAGTAGTATTATTTGTAGCTATCAATTTATCTCGAAGCGGTTCTACATTATATGTGTTTACTGACGCTGACGCTAAAGATGCAGATAGACAGCAAGAGGCAGCAAATGCTGCAAGGGCTAAAACTATTCCCATAACCACAGTAACGACCGGCACCTGTTCTAGGAGACGGAGATCAATGCACAGTAAGTACACATGATTGATTGATTGGTGTTTAATGCCACTTTCAGCCCTATTTGGTGGAGGAAGTTGGTGTGCCCGGAGAGAACCACCGGCCTTCGGTAGCCTAAAATTGAGAATGGAAATGGGGAATATGTCAAAGAGACAACAACCCGACTAAAGAGCAGACAACAGCAGAAGGCCACCAATGGGTCTTCAACGCAGCGAGAAAATCCCGCACCCGGAGGTGGTCCTCAGCTGACCCCTAAATAAAATTGTGTACTAGTTCAGTGAATATGGACGTCACACTAAGATTGGAGTCGAGCTCACCTGCCAGGTGCGGGATTCCAACTCACAACCTCAGTGTTGACAGGCTTGTGATACACTAGTTCGACTACTTAGACCACTCGGCCACAGAGGTCCCACAGTAAGTAAGAAAAAAGATATCTATAATTTTAAGATATTTTGGAGAGTCATATGACTTACTGAAAATATCTTATTTTTTTGCGTTTATAAAATATATCATCCCGTCCTATATTACATGTACTGCGATATGAACAAGAAGACATATTGGGTATAACTCAATGAGACAGTTACTAAGGCAACAGCTGGTTTAGCTAGAACGGCATTTGTAGACTTGGAAAAAACGAGAGTCTTTGATACACAGTGACTGCTGGCTTTATCAGTCGGTATCGTATATTTGTGGAATTCTTACATTTTTAAAACATTTGATAAAGATGAAACCTAATTTTTACAATCACAATCGTTTACCACACAGTTAACGTTTTGCTTTTTGGGGCATGGCGTTTTCTGTTTTGCTGATATGATTTTTATTGCTCCATTTGCATATTCTCTCTCTCTCTCTCTCTCTCTCTCTCTCTCTCTCTCATAATTACAAATACATTGAAATTACCGAATTATCAATGTAGAAAAAAATCAGAATTTGGGCGGGGTATGTCCAGTTCAAAGGTAAAAACTATACACATTAGCTAGGTTTTCCACGGGATCCTATTAAAATTTATAATTGATGCAAGTGTTCGTTTAAGTCAAAAAATGTTTTCGCCAATGCAGTCTTAGATAAATTAAGAGAATTTAGAACCTCATATTTCCCAATATGATCAGTTCTCCTACATTTGTTATATTAGTTTTGAACGTAAATATTGTTAAATGTCTTAATTTATCATACCTAAAATAAGTTTTCGTTATGAATTTCTAGAAAGTAATTAATGCAAGCACGGGTTTAAAGGATACCTTACACATTTAGTGAAAAAAATCAATTTTCACGGAGGAGAGGGGAGGGGAGGGGGAGTATGATGTTTTGGAAACATAATATTTATTTACGCCTGTTGCTAGCTTATTGTCACTTTTGTACACAACTGTTTCCTGAATTGTATGGGGCAGAATATTCATTTCCATTTCTGTCATATTTTATTAAACTGTCTTGATCCATGGTACATTAACTTTTGTAACTCTCTTTTGCTATTGTCAGATATACATGTAAAGCGAAGGGATACTACATCATTCTTTCAGCGTCTTGCTCAGGCAACAGGAGGAACGATTTATCATACAAGTAAAGAAGAAATAAACGTTGTATTGGATGCTATTATTGAGGTAAAAATAGTAAATTAAACACGAAAACGTTTTGACAGCTATATATTTCATTTATCGTTTCGTTTTTTTAATCGTATGTGTATTGCATTATATGTTGTACAGTTTAAGATTAGATTTTGCACTGTTTCTAGTTTGGCGCTCTATACTTAACCATAGATCATGCAATTGAATGACCAGCCATATGTTTTATTTTTTCATATAATTATCGTTAATAAAGTATCCACATTCATCATCAAATCTTTCCGGAACAGCAGCCTTCTTAATATTTTTGTCTTTTTCTGGTCTCTTGTTAAAATTTATGTAGTTCATTCTGCAACCTTTATCTGTGTTCTAGAATTCTGACCTTGCATGTTGAATTAGGTTTTCTTTCAGTGTGTAATAACTATAGTTAGTTTCACTCTTGTCATTTTACTTTTCTAATTATGGCCCTGCCGTCACCGAAGGTGGCATTTAGTGTTACCCTTATCCGTCCATCCGTCCGTTCTTTAACTTTATTTCACCTCAACCAAATGTTTAAAAACTTGTACACAATGCTTATTACCACAAAACACAAATAAAGTTCGAATTTGGATGGCGTCACTTTTAACGTTCTCGAATTATGCCCCTTGATAACTTTATATGCAAGCGGGGGCGTCATCTGTGTCCCATGGACTCTCCATGTATTTCGACTAGTTTTAACATAAATATTATCTTCTTTCTTTCCAGAAAACATTTCCTGTTGCTGAAGTAATAGTGGATTCATTTGAATGGTCACTGACATGCGATGACAACACAATATTTGTTGTTGATAGTACAGTTACAGTCCTTAAGGTTGCTGTGTGCTGTCCAGGAGAAGACAGCGGAGTAGAACTGTTTTACCCAAATGGTAAATTTATTGAATTAAACAATGCGATTTTAATAGCACACATGTTCATCCTGAATTATATGTACTTACTTATTCGTACCAACAGTCGTTTTATGTAAGGTTTTTAGACAATTATACTCAAAATTAGAACAGAAGTATTATTTTATTTCAATAATGGCTTCAACAATGAGAAAAAACCCATACCGTATAGTCGGCTATAAAAGGCCCCGACATGAAAAATGTGAAACAATTCAATTGAGAAAACTAACGGCCTAATTAATAACAAAACAATTTGCGAAAAACTCATATGGCAGACATGAACTAACGACAACCACTGAACTACAGGGTCATGACTTGGCTTCAACAATGAGAAAAATGAGAAAAACCCATACCGTATAGTCGGCTATAAAAGGCCCCGACATGAAAAATGTGAAACAATTCAATTGAGAAAACTAACGGCTTGATTAATAACAACAATTTACAAAAAACTTATATGACAGACATGAACCAACGCCAACCATTGAACTACAGGGTCCTGACTTGGGTCAGGCACATAAAAATGTTTACAGGCATCAAACCCTCCCTTTAACCTGGGACAGTAGTGTAACAATACAACATAAGAACAAACTAAAAAAAATCAGTTGAAAAGGTTGTAACTCTTCATATCGATACAAAGCAGACAAACAACTAACAATAACACAGACTGGATTTGGCAGGGAATTTATACATACCCCACAACAAATAAGACACTAAGTACAGATCTGAGAGTATTCGCAGTTACTGACAGCTTATTCAATGCCAATAACAACTAATAAATAAATCATGTATCTAAGACTAAAACTCATCATAGATTCCAAAATTAAAATTTTGTACGCTAGACGCAGGTTTCGTCTACCAAAGACTCATCAGTGATGCTCGAATCAAATAAGTTCAAAAGGCCAAATAAAATACAAAGTTGAAGAACATTGAGGACACAAAATTCGAAAAGATTTTGCCAAAAGCATGCATACATTTCATTAATATATTGTAAAAAAGTTTAACTTGGATGACGATGTAAGTGTGAACATGTTTTAATATCTAAACAACTGTTTTTTGTTTTATTTTTGTACATAAATCAGACCTTTGAGGATTTTTCTCAAATGCATTGATTTACATTTTGTTATGTCGGGGTTTTTTATAGCTTACTATGCGGCATGGGTTTCGTTCATTCAAGGCCGTACGGCGACATATTCTTGCTAACATTTTAAGTCATTTGGCCTTTGGTGGATAGTTGTGTCATTTTTCCCGTATATTTCTGCTGAATAAAAGCATTTTTGTAACTCGAGCCGTCATTTTTGTTTTCATAGTAGCTGCTTAGTTGCCATCTAATTGGTATTTACCCAATTTTTTTTTCTTAAATTATTGGTAAATTTGCTCTTCTGCATTTTTTTATTTTATGTTTTCCCAGGAACAAAAGAAACGTTTGCAAGTAGATTATCACGAAAACTGGTCACTAATAGGAAAGAAGTAATAATATCCCTGCAGGTTCTTATTTTTCCTATTTCATTTTTTATGATTAAAATATTCATTAAACTCGAGGAAAACGATTCTAATGGCGATAGCTACTGATATTATTACATGTGTTACCTATTTATAATGCAAATGATTAAAATAAAGACTGTGTATTTCAAAACTAACTATATATAAAATTGAGAATGGAAATGGGGAATGTGTCAAAGAGACAACAACCCGACCATAGAACAGACAACAGCAGAAGGTCACCAACAGGTCTTCAATGCAGCGAGAAATTCCCGCACCCGGAGGCGTCCTTCAGCTGGCCCCTAAACAAATATATATATACTAGTTCAGTGATAATGAACGCCATACTAAACTCCAAATTGTACACAAGAAACTAAAATTAAAAATAATACAAGACTAACAAAGGCTAGAGGCTCCTGACGTGGGACAGGTGCAAAAATGCGGCGGGATTAAACATGTTTATGAGATCTCAACCCTCCCCCTATACCTCTAGCCAATGTAGAAAAGTAAACGCATAACAATACGCACATTAAAATTCAGTTCAGAGAAGTCCGAGTCTGATGTCAGATATATGCATGATAAAAATGGCAATAATGAGGTTGTGTTTGTTCTATTTGCAGGAAAAGATATCTGCATGCTTCTGATATATGACATCTAAATAAAAAGCGTTTTCATTGCTAAACATCTTCAAATATAAAGATAATGATAGAGATAAATAATGTCATATCGTATTGTGTAAGAGGTTTACATGAATACAATTATAGCCGTTTAATTTCTTCAAAATTCAGCATCCACCTTCAGGCAGATATAATTTAGAGAGGAGTTCATCTTATAAATGGTCAGTTAATATAACAGCACAAAGTCCAGTTAAACTAGAAACAGAGATACTTGAATACACTGAAAGTGGTGCCTTACCTATCCTGAAAGGAAGTCCTATTGCGGGTAAAGTAATAAAACATTTTACAACCACAATTCTGTTTATCTAATTGAAAAAGGCCTTATATAAAAAATAGTTTGAAATCCGTAATCTAACTGCATGCATACTTTTTTGGTTTTGATTACGTTTTTCTTTTTAAAACCATTTATTCTTTTCTTCCTCCCTTTAATTGAACTGGTGAATCTGTAACTTCGTATTTGGTAATAAATTTTGAAAATACATGTGCCTTTGTTTGGGAAATGGTTATTGATTCATGGTTTTTCATACATGTAATGGTAACAAAAATGATAAAAATGTACTTTTCAATATACTTAACATTTTTCTTTAAATTGTAGGAAAGAACTATACATTTTATGTAAACATTTATAACCTTGGAGAAAATGGGACATGTAATGACCTTATCCTCACTGATATATTGGGGAATGCATTGTTTAATATTCCTATTATTCAGACGACAACACTTATGGCAGTAAGATGTGCCGCCATATTCACTACTCCAAACCAGGTATGATAACCCTAGTAAATAGATAGTTACCATTTTGTAATGAAATAATCTTAAAATGAAAGGGATTGAATTATTATACCCCAACATTCTAAGTGGGAGTTTGTTTGTCCTTGTGTGTCATTTTTGTATCGACAACTGCTCCTGACCTGATGAACAGAATTATGTGGCATTTTCATAGAATCTTAATTACATAATCTCCTTTGCTATTCTATTTCTTTTCTTCATCTGAAAGATTTTGGATATACTTTGTGATGACATGGACCATCTGAATATCATAGTGATTATTGATATGGTACCCATTTTGTACCTGACACTCCTCCTAAACCGTTATTACAATTTATTGAAACATTCTCGGGGTGCTATTGTGAACCTCCTTTTTTGTTTTTGTGTCCGATCAGTTTTGGGTTTCCCTTGCCAAAGCATGAATTTTCAATTGCTTTATTTGTGCATTATCTCATTCCTTTGTTTCTTGTAAAATATGTGTAAATTAGTTGAAATATTTTTTTTGTTCTTTAGTTATTGCCGTTGGACAGTTCAAATATGTGCAACGCTGGGGACATTGGAACTCTTTTCTATTATGAATATTATTATAATGTCATAGACTAAAGTTCTACAACAAAATGTACATACTAATTTATATGACTATATCGCAAAAGGTTCATAGAAATTGGCATTTTATATATTTGTTCACGGTTATATCATTATTCAAGCACAGACGTTTGTAATTAGTCTAGTACATTTTTATTATACAGTTGTTTTGTAATCACTGCGTTTGGTATACTTTATATTTATATCAATTCGATTATTGAAAATTTCTTAAAATTCCGCTTTCCTCTCCGAAGTACGCCGTCTTATCTATTATATTATATTTTCCCCTTTCTCACTTTAATTGTGCCTAGGTTATTGTTGTCTATTACGGTCCGTGTAACACTTATCAATTCAAAATTTCAAAAAGTTTTCAAATTTAAGTTTTTTTGATTTTTGATCAAAGTTTTAAAATATCAAAATTCCAAATTTTTTATTTTTTTTTAAATTTTGAAAATTTCACCAAATGATTAAAATTTCAAAATTTCGTTTTAAAATTTGATAGTTTAGATATTTAAGCAAACGTTAAAAATACTAAACTGAACGTACAGTTTTGATCATTTCGCTTTTTGAAAGTTTGAATTTTTAGATCTTTGATTAAAATATAGAAAAAGGGGAAAGGACTAAAAAGTGGATACCTGTTACAAGTGCGAAACGGAATAAGAATGGAAGGAAACGAAATGAAATTTACCAAAACAAATCAAAACGAAAACAATATTTTCTGAAAAAAAAACTAAATATAATTAAAATGATAAAACAAGAGGCTAACTTGTGACCTACCGAATTACTTATTACCGGGTTTGTAATAACATGAGCAACACGACAGGTGCCACATGTGGAGCAGTATCTGCTTACTCTTCCGGAGCACCTGAGATCACCCCCATTTTTTTATGGGGTTCGTGTCGCTCAGTCTTTAGTTTTCTATGTTGCGTTTTGTGTACTGTGTCTATTGGTCTTTTTCTTTTTTAGCCATGGCGTTGTCTGTTTATTTTCGACATATGAGTGAATGTCCCTCTGTTATCTTTCGCCCCTCTTTTGTTTGATCTACAGGGTGAAAAAAGAGAAATATGTTTCTTTAAGTCTTAAAAATAATTAGTAAGACCTGATTTTGACACACTTTGATTCTCTAACTAAATGAACAATATGCAGAAATTACTTGTCGACTTTGTGATTACTGCTATTTTTAAATAGCAAATAAAAGAAAACGGGATATTCGATTTATTAAATAAGGGATAGATCCGTATTTGTTATTTGCACTTTTGTAAGTTATCGTGCGAAAATCAACTTTGAGTAAAATACAAGTACGCAGCCACGTCCAGTCAGAATGGGGCGTGAAGAGAGAGTGCCACGCTCTCTGCATGTTACAAACCGTTGCAACAGTTCTTAGAGTGGTTCGTTGATTGCAAAGTTTCTGTCCCTATCCAATATACTCTCATTTTCCAGTGGCTATCTAAATTTGCCGACCTTCATCCTGAACTGACTCTATTACAGGACCTACCTATTTTATCTATTGTTAATTTGTTATCGTCCTGAACATGCATGAAATATCTGCCACTGGCCACCAACAATCAATCATTTAAAATAGGTCGTTTATATATAAATTATAAAGAAACTCAGGTTTCAAATCCCTCGGGCAAAGTTTCCCTTAGGTGGATTTTGCTATTTTTAATGTCCCTTTTGGCCATTCACCTTTTCAATTGTTTCGGTTCTTATATTTACTTGGCTTCCAAATATTCAGCTTTGAGCGTTCCGGATGTAGGTTAATACAGAAAAGCGCTTCGAACGTATGCTGTCAAGTTTTGTTTAAATTCTTATTGGATATTCCATTCACTTCAAATGGTATTGTCAATGGCAAATAGTACATGGGCGGATTAAGGTTTTTGTTACTGTAATCTAATTTATTGCGGGGAGTTCTCTTTTAGTAGAAAATTTGGTTTTATATAATTTTTTCTGACATTTCACTGCTATTCCTAAGTTTTCTTATCCCTATTTCTAGAACTCATGAGTTCGCCTCTGTAATATGTATCAATCATTCTATTATTAACTGTAAATACAAAGTTAGCATGGGATTGAAACGCAAAGACTATGAATCCCCTGTACTCGGTGCTAAAGGCAGTTTTAAAAAGCACCCAAAGATTTCTTATATATCGTAATACTGCAAGATTATTGTAAAATATTTTCAGTACTGAAAATTAACTATAGATAACAGTTGAAATCTAGAAAAAATAGTTTTTAATGCAAAAAATCCCTTTTTTCGTATTCACATTTTTTCTTTTAAAACAAAACCCGGCCCATTTTTTAAAAACCTAGGACGTTTTGAAATTTGTCCTCGAAAAACCAGGGCAATTTAAAACGCTGAGTATTAAGTTAAATTCAAGGAAATAGTTTTTGCCTTAAATATTTATAGCATTCAGAATAAGATGAACAGTCATGAATAAATTATTTTATCGCTATTTTACGAAATTTACCTTTGATCTTGCTGACTGATAATTTTCTTTCTCAGCGGAGTCGAATGATATGAAAAATTATCGCTAGAAACTAAGGACGCACGTGCCCATTGTCAATGAAATTAACAACGTCGTCATAGGTAAAATAGCGATAAACAGATTATCATTGGTCATCTCAATTCGATTGCTTTTCTCACTTTCGCCGTACCGGCTCAAGCGAGAAAATCAATCTCGTTGAGATGATCAACGATAATCTATAAATACTTGCGAAATAGCAGTTAATCGATCTGATTGCATTTAATATCACTCGAAAATACAATATCTCAGCCGGATGTTTTACCTATAGTTTTACATGACATAATAAAATAAGACTACCAACGACCAAAATAATGCTTAATCAATAAAGACAAAAATCAACCAAAATTATTTACCACTAAAATTGGTCACTTCAACTTTCTAAAATGTGTATCGGTGATGTGAACTTATAAAACATAATATTTAAATTGCGGTTTTGTTTAACAATGTGTTTTTCTTTTTCAAAATATATTAAATTGGACTGGACAAAAGGCTAAGTATCTGCAAGCCTCTCCAAGAGAGATAAAACATCATATACACAAACTTATGACAACACAAACAAATATTTCCTTATCATTAACATTGCATGGTGTTGCTCATGTAATTAAAACTGAGGGCACACATTAATCAAAATGCAAACAGCTCATATGGATAGAATGACGCTTTATGTACAGCGGCGACTATTACATGGATATTCAGACTGAAATGTTTCTGTGATATGTTTATGTGGTATGAATTCATTTAACTTTCAGAAAGTATCACGCTGAGTTGATATAAATGGTCTACCTCTTACCATTATCCTGGCTACAAGCTTCTAATGATTGGTTTAGACAGCATGTATAGGGGATAAACAGGGTAAAGCAGATACTTGTATACAAAATAAAATCCAATCCACAACCTCCCACATTTGAGGCGACGTTCATTACGACACCACTGATTCGGTATTTCAGTTACCGTACCAATACTTGGACTTGAAATCAATAATAAAAGGCAATATATGATCGTCATGAAATGGATAAAAGACTAAAGATGATCGTTCAAAATGTACGTTCAATGATTCTATCAGCCGACATGGATGCAGATAGTAAGAAGCCGAAAAGCAAAATAAAAAATCTGACTTCAAATTTTAGGGAATTCACCTTCATTAAACCATTTTGGTTGAATCATTATTGCTTAACATACATATTTACATACTCAATCTTACCACATTATTCGACTAACTGCGAGTTGGTCAGTTTTCACTGTTCTCATGAATTGATGGGCGCTTTATCAAGCAAGTGACGTTTGAGTAAAAGTGTAGAACAAACACAATTGTTAAATTGGAGTAGACTTTCCAATCTAGAATTCCTTTTGTCCATTACGACCAATAAATTCGAAATTCGCTGTTATCTTTTGATTGATTGTGATAACCAAATAGTTATAAATAAATTATCTGAAATGCTTAGCTTCTGTTGGAGATTTTTTATTGTAGGTAAAGTTAACATGTTTGATGGAGTTTGAAATAGGTTCGGGAATTGTTTTTTTTTAATATTACCTTAAAAATTTCAGGATACTGATATATCATGTGATGTCCGATTTGTTTAAAGAAATAAAGCCTCTACCTTAAATATTGTTTTTGCAATTAAAAATGATTCAACTTTTTTTGTTCTTTTTATTCCTACATAAGAATTACCATAATCAAAGTGTTTCTTCTTTCTTTTTTTAAATTAAGTCTCCACTCTTTAGAAATATTTATTTGTTTTATTCAATTTTCTCCGCTTTGATGCCAGTCTGTCTCTTGATTTTTTTTTTTTTTACCTTGATTGGTATTTAAACATATTCATTTCGTTTTGTTTCGTTTCGTTTGCTTTTGTTTTCGGGCAAAAAAAATTCTTTTTTCCCCCTGCTATTTAGCAAGTATAATGGATCAATTCATGACTGTCCATCTTATTCTAAATACTATACATATTTAAGGCAAAAACTATGTCCTTGAATTCCACTTAAAATTCAGCGTTTTACATTGCCCTGGTTTTTAGAGAGCAAATTTTAAAACGTCCTAGTTTTTTTAACAAATGCACTGTTTTTTTTAAAGAAAACATGTGAATACGAAAGAAGGCATTCTTTGCATTAATAACTTTTTTTTCTAGATTTCAACTATTATCTTTAGCGAAGAATAATAATATATATTCCCATGAAGTCACAAAATATATTTCAATATTGATCAAATTTAACCTTTTTGATTTAATGTTAATTTTCTGTACTGAAAATATTTTACAATAACCTTACAGTATTACGATATATAAGAAATCTCTGGGTGCTTTTTAAAACGGTCCTTAGAACCGAGTACAGGGGATTCATAGTCTTTTCAATTCAATCTCATGCTAACTTTGTATTTACAGTCAATAATAAAATGATTGATACATATTACAGAGGCGAACTCATGAGTTTTAAAACTAGGAATAAGAAAACAATTGAAAAGGTGTATTGCCAAAAGGGACATTAAAAGTAGCAAAATCCAGCTAAGGGAAACTTATTCCGAGGGAGTTGAAACCTGAGTTTCTTTTTAATTTATATATACACGGCCTATTTTAAATGATTGATTGTCTGTTGCCAGTGCATGCATACCCAAGACGATAACAAATTAACAATAAATACAATAGGTAGGTCCTGTAATAGAGTCCGTTCAGGATGAAGGTCAACAAATCTAGATCGTCACTGGAAAATGAAGGTATATTTGATATGGACAGAAACTTTGCAATCAACGAACCACTCAAAAAGTTGTTGTTACGGTTCGTAACGTGCAGAGAGAGTGGTACTCTTTCGGCACACTCCATTCTGACTAGACGTGGCTGTGTACTTGTATTTTGCTCAAATTTGATTGTCGCACGATAACTTACAAAAGTGCAAATAACAAATACGGAACTATCCCTTATTTCGAAAATCGAATATTCCGTTTCCTTTTATTCGCTATTTAAAAAAAGCAGTAATCACAAAGTCGACAAGTAATTTCTGCATATTGTTCTTTTAGTTAGAGAATCAAAGTGTGTCAAAATCACGTCTTACTAATTATTTTGTAGAATTAAAGAAACATATTTTTCCTTTGCACCCTGTGGATCAAATAAAAGAGGGGCGAATAGACAAACAATAGTACACAAAACACAACATAGAAAACTAAAGACTGACCAACACGAACCCCACCAAAAACTCGTCTTGCTCATTTTATTACAAACCCGGTAATATGTAATTCGGTAAGTCACAAGTTAGCCTCTTGTTTTATAATTTTCATTATATTTATTTTTTTCAGAAAATATTGTTTTCGTTTTGATTTGTTTTGGTAAATTTCATTTCGTTCAGTTTAGTATTTTTAAAGTTTGCTTAAATATCTAAACTATTAAATTTTAAAACGAAGTTTATAAATTTAAATTTTAATTATTTGGTGAAATTTTCAAAATTTAAAAAAGAATAAAAAAATTGGAATTTTTTTTTTTAGCCTACATCGTTAGATATTATCAGAGGTAGCCTTTCTTAATGTATACATAGATTTGCATAAGCCTTTATATAAAAAAAATCAGTTCATTTATTTAATTGAACTAATTTGCTTGTGAAAATGTTAGACTAGTAAAAATATTTTGACGAAGCTTCAATAGCGTACTTACTGCAAGTGATGTATTTAGTACCAGTCGGTCATTAAGACATTATTTATTTGTCATTAATATGTCGACTGTACAGATTTTACAAGCTTATATTGGACATTAGGATTAAGTTTTGGATATATACTGATCATTTAAAGTCGATTCTTGCAGACTTATTTTTTTCATCGTATATCATGTCGTTTGAAGCATGTTGTCACAATTCAGTACCGTAATGACATAGTCATTTTTATTTGCCTTAAAAAGAGATGAAAATGTTTACTTGTTCGTAGCTTATTTCATATTCAACTGTGCGTGTTCATATGAAATTGTCGTTGTAGTTTTTTCAACTGAAATTAAACGGAACAGACACGAACGGATTTGAATTTTCCAGGAAAAATTCACTAGTTTTTAAACCTACAAATATGAAGCTAAGAATAATTCCTCCTGATAGTGAGTATGTAAAACGAATATTTAAAGAAACATAGAAATGACTTTAAAATCAAAACGGTAAACAAAGCTGATACCAACTAATTCTGCATATTTTAATGTGTTAACTCACCATTTTTTATAACTATATATCAGCCTTAGCATCTGCATCTTTCAGACTCAGTTTTGAACAGTTGTTTTCCTAATTCGCTGGTTATGAAAGTATGATTCTTCAGAGATTGATCATATTACAAATAGTTTTTGGTCAATTAATTTAAGAATGAAATCATATCTAATGTTTCCCTTTCTCTAATCGCAATATTCTATTCTGATCTTTCTAGTAATGCAATCGGTTTTAATCTAGCATGTTACTATAATGAATAAAAATATTTGTCGGATTAATCTTACCTTTAGAAACCTTCAATTTACATCATCTAATTCATTTATAAACCTAGGTGCAGTTATTGGAAAAGAAGTGTTAGTATATTATGAGGTGGAAAATACAGGAACAATTAATGAAACTTCTGAAGTAGCGATATCAGACGACCATTCTGCTTCAGTATTACCAATTAGAAGACAGCATACAATTTTAGCGGGAGAAACAAGTAATGGATCGTTTACATTGAAGCCTACCTCAGTATCTAATATCTTGTACGTTTCTTTACTTTTTAGTTACCTTTTTAGCTCACCTTGCCCAAAGGGCCAAGTGAGCTTTTCTCATCACTTTGCGTCTGTCGTCCGTCGTCGTCCGTCGTCGTCCGTCGTCCGTTAACTTTTACAAGAATCTTCTTCTCTAAAACTACTGGCCCAAAGGTAACCAAACTTAGCCACAATCATCATTGGGATATCTAGTTTAAAAATTATGTCCGACGACCCGGCCCGCTAACCAAGATGGCCACCATGGCTAAAAATAGAACATAGGGGTAAAATGTAGATTTTGGCTTATATCTCTGAAACTAAAGCATTTGGAGCAAATTTGATAAAATTGTTCATCAGGTCAAGATCTATCTGCTCTGAAATTTTCAGACAAATTAGACAACCCGTTGTTGGGTTGCTGTCCCTGAATTGGTAATTTCAAGAAAATTTTGCAGTTTTTGCTTTTTATCTTCAATATTATTATAGATATAGATAAACTGTAAACAGCAATAATGTACAACAAAGTAAGATCTACAAATAAGTCAACATGAACAAAATGGTCAATTGATCTCTTAAGGAGTTATTGCCCTTTATAGTCAATTTTTAACAATTTTTCATAATTTTTGTAATCTTTCACAAAAATCTTCTCCTCTGAAACTACTGGGCCAAATAGAATCAAACTTTGCCACAATCATCATTAGGGTATTTAGTTTAAAAAATTTGTCCGATGATCCCGCCCGCCGATCAAAATGGCCGACTAGGCTAAAAATAGAACATAGGGGTAAAATGCAGTTTATGTCTTATATCTCTGAAACTAAAGCATTGAGAGCAAATCTGAAAACTGATAAAAATGTTCATCAAGTAAAGTTATATCTGCCCTGATATTTTCAGACGAATCAGACAACCCGTTGTTGGGTTGCTAACCCTGAATTAGTTATTTTAAGGAAATTTTGCAGTTTTTTGGAAATTATCTTGAATATTATTATAGATAGAGATAAACTGTAAACAGCAATAATGTTTAGCAAAGTAAGATCTACAAATAAGTTAACATGACCATAATTGTCAATTGACCCCTTAAGGAGTTTCGCCCTTTATAGTCAATTTTTAACAATTTTTCGTAAATTTTTGTAATCTTTTACAAAAATCTTCTCCTCTGAAACTTCTAGGCCAAATAGAATCAAACTTGGCCAAAATCATCATTAGGGTATTTAGTTTATAAAATGTGTCCGATGACCCTGCCCGCCAACAAAGATGGTCGACATGGCATAAATTGAAAATATGGGGTCAAATGCAAGTTTTGTCTATTATTCTGATAACCGTTATAAAGAGATGAAATCTGAAAGGGGTAAAATTGTTCAAAATGTTGAGTTCTTCCAATTATCCATATACGTCAAAACTGTTAGACGATTTCCTGTAGGAGTAATTGCCCTTAAATGACAAATTTTACCACTTTTTTCGATTTTGTCTAATATCTTGAAAACTATAAAAGATAGAGAGAAACATTAAACTGCAAAAATGATCAGAAGGACAAGTTCTTCAAAGAAGTTTTAATGTTGAAATCATCAGTTGACTTCTTATTAGAGTTATTGCCCTTTGATGCCGATTTGTACAATTGTTTTTGCGTTTTTGTCTTATATCTTTAAAAAACTTATAATAGATAGAAAGAAACTTAAATATACAAAAATGATCAACAAGACAAGATCTACAATTAAAACAAATGGCAGAAATTGTCCGACGACGCCTTATGAGAGTTATTGCCCTTTAGTTACGATTTTTACCATTTTTTGGGGGATTTTGCCTTTTATGATAAAATTATAATAGATTGATAGAAACTTGAATAATCAAAAATGATAAGCAAGACAAGACTTACTAACATGTCAAATTTTGCTGATATAATTTGTAGATTGTTACTCTTTATAGGAGTTTTTTTACCCTCTTTTGTGTTTGGAGCAAAAGCTAAATAAGATCATGAAGATAGAGAGAAACTGAACAGACTTCAATGATCAGCAATATAAGATACAAATAAAAGCCCAGAGATTATTGTGATTAATTCTATTCTCGTCTACAATGTTGGAGAGTGTCCTTTGTTGAATATGCATATAGACCAAGGTGAGCGACACAGGCTCATGAGTGCCTCTAGTTATTGGTTTTTGGAGAGAGCTCTGATTATTAATCGTTAAATGAGTACTATGATACAACAAATAAAAGAGAACAATAATTGAAATATACTTCACAGCAATTCATTCGGAATAGCCTAAAGTATCAGGATTTGAATTTTATATTGAAAGCTGTTATTTGTATGTATAACTAACTATAATTACAATCATAATGATAAACAAAATGATAAATAATTATTCTAATTTAATAATGATACTACTAGCACAGTACCTGTCATGTAAAAATCTTATATATACTAGTAATATGTATTTGCAGCTGTCATTAAAGCACACACAATTTAGTTTTTCATTCGTCATATATTTATTTTTTTTACAACTCTACGACATATTGTCTCCATTAGATTTCAACTCTGTACAGGATATTTGCTAGATAACTGGGTTAGAATATGTCTGAAATTCACCATTGCAATGTTTGAAATTCATTCTTACACTATATAGACTATCAATATATATGCATTAGTTGAAGTGTAAAATGTTTTCATTAAGACAAAAAAAAAACATTACGGTCGAATCTGGCTCATTTCTATAAAGATAGATATTGATTAATTCTTTTGAACTACTTTTGCGTTCATTAGGAAAAATATTAAAGAATATATTTATATATATATATAAATAAGACTAAATTGAAAACAACGTTCAAACCTGCGATTGCGTTGGATAAAAACCGCAATTTTTATACGTGTGCATGCAAAACAAATTTCTTGGTAGAGAGGTCTAAATACAGCACAAACAACATTTTCCAAAAGACCAAAAAAGTGAAAAAGTATATTTAAACAAAACGCATTTGACTAACAGGTCGAACAACAGATGTTCTTAAATCCTGCTGACTGCCATTGGCGATTGCCAAATAAACGGATCACAAGATGTAACGAAATGGATCTTTATATATATATATCTTTCACTTTTTTGGTCTTTTGGAAAATGTTGTTTGTGCTGTATTTAGACCCTTCTTCCAAGAAATTTGTTTTGCATGCACACGTATAAAAATTGCGGTTTTTATCCAACGCAATCATAGGTTTGAACGTTGTTTTCAATTTAGACTTGTTTATATATATATATATATATATATGAAATATCAACGGTAAACTAATCTACTTATAACTTGTAGGAAATATGCCATAACAGTGTATCTAGGATCCACATCCGAAATAACTCAAAGAATTACAAAAACGGTTCTCGTAAGTAAAGATACCGATTTTGCTTATCAAGTATATGTACATCCTTTTGGCACATCAAATGTATTTGAGTGTTATTTTTATTTTCATAGCAACTGGTTGATACCGGTGCTAGTGGAATGTTAGTCTCCGTTGGTTTCATTAAATGTGTAGTCATTGTTTAAGTACTGACATTATTTGTAGAATACTTTCTTTAAATTCTACGTTAATCAATTTTGGTAATTATTAAGAAACTTGATCTTGGATGGTTTTGGTTGTTTTAAATCCCTTTTGGTCACATAGCTAATCATGTGTTCATATATTCTTACTTTCATTTGCTCCCTCATGTTTGGGTTTGAGCGTTCCGGAGAAGGTAAATCCTGGAAAGCGCCAACGTGTTTTTTTTCAGTTATTCAATAATTCTCTGGAAAAAAACAAAATTTGTAGATTTGCAAATGTGATAACTTTTTCTCAGTTCTACAATCATTAGGGGTTCAACAAAATAATGATTGCACAGTAGAGCACAGTAGTGCAAATTGGTAGATTGACTTAAGACAAGAACATGCAGCTAAACAATATGCAAAAATAAAAACAAAGTTGAAATAAATCAGACACCAGTTTACTTAAAAAGAATATGATACGAATAATACAAGCCGTACTTGAGCCCTAAAATTTCCCCCAAAACAATCTTCATTCTTTTCCAAATTGTGTTTATTCTTTTGAAATGATTAGGATGCATAAAAGTCAGTGATCCGACAGATATCAGACAGTGACCAGACAGTGAACCGACGACGACGGAAGATATCTGTTAGAAAACTGTCGCCATATTCGGGATGATCAGGTACTGTTGGAACTCAATCCTATCACAGTCTGATGTATCGCATTGCAAACGGCTTGGTCTGGACTCAGTCGTATTGTGTTCTGTAATTGTCGAGACTCTGACGTGGGCATAATTGTCGAATTTCATATTAATAACGGGACTTTTCCGGAACGGTTTCGGCAAAGACGTTTCGCATTCGGCATCATCTGGTTGCAATCTGGACTCAATTGGCAAAAAAACAGCAATGACAAATTTCTCCAGATCATGCCCGTTCCACAGGACAACGTTTAGAAAACACAGAACATTATTACGATTTTGATCCGATACAGCAGAATCTGTCACGATATAGTCACGATTGTAATCCGACTAGACAAAATCGACTGAGTCCCCCCGAAAGTTACGGGACGCACCTAACTGTCGCGGTGCTTGGCCGACCTCTCCGGACCATTCCCGATCCGTAGGAAACTGCTACAAACGTATACGACTGCGTTCAGACAATGATAGGACATTCCAGATCATTGAGGATAGTAATCCGACTTTTTCACTTTTCGTGTCTTATCGCTGTCTAATCTCAAACGGGAGCCATAATCGGCAATGTATGAACGCCGCATTAATTATGAACCAATTTCCTTAGAAAAGAGATGTTTTATTCATATAAACATTTTTGTGTAAGGCATTTGTAACAAAATATATTTTTGTGCAAGACTATTGCTCACAAATTAAATAAATGTTAATGAATTTCACAAAAGTAGGCTGTTTTTTTAGTATTTTCAGGTTTGCCTTAAATGCGAAAGTTCATCAGCAACTGTGTGATATGAGGAATGACTAACAGACATAAATTTTCATATCTTACAGATTTTGTCTCTTAAACTCGAATTTAAAGATTGAAAATATTAACCTATACTGAGAGTTAGGCTATATTGCAATGTCCGTCAGCGCGTTTTTCAAACAAATATGTTTGCACATCTTATAAAGTAATAAGGTATTTGATTTAACTTATCTTTAGTGATGTCTTAGTTGTGGTGTCCGTAAACACGTTTGTTGATGACATGAGTTAGTTGGTTTTAGTTAAATTAAATTTAAACTCATGTATAAGACTTCCGGCGATTTAGATTTTAGCTGCACATACAAAAATGTACGAGAACAACTAGAAACAACTGTTTGATAAGTTATTTTCTTGACTAAAATAGTATTAACGTGAATTTGAATAAGGAAAGAGGTTGAACCAATTTTCCCTGTATTTGTTTTATTCACAGAGTTGCTATGATATTCTCCCTCAAATTATCAACATTGCTAACACATTTCAATCAAGTAGAAATATTTTTTAACGCTGCATAATGCTGTTAAAGACAATATTGAAAATTGTACATGCTTATTGTAAAGCAACTAAGCATCAAAGGACGTCTCTAACCAAAATTAATTACGTTGTATTTGAATGAAAATATTGAGTTTTACTTTCCAAAATATCAATTAATTTTGTTAAGGAAGTCTTTCTTATATAAGTGCCAACTATTTACTATGACAGTCGTATTTATTTTCATCTATCTTGTTTTTCCATTCCCAAATGTAGAATAGGAATAGATAATTAACTTAAATGTTATCCTGCTTCGATGGAATTACTTTTACGCTGATGTTGAAATTGATCTTTGAAGGTAACTGATATTGAAAGACCGGATTGTACAGTTGTAGTTTTGAATGGAACTTGTAATAATTCTTCCTTGAATACCGCACAATGCCATAAATATCACTGGTTCGTAAATGCTGAGATAACATTCAAAGGAACTGAGTTGGAAAATTTTACTTCATCCGTTGGATCAGCAACCGAATTGGTTTATGATGATATTTCTGGTCTGAGGCATGGTCCTGTGAATATCAGTATCAAGTAAGCATTGTAGTATTAAAGTGGAATACGATTTTCTATATAGCCAAGAGCATGGTTCTGTGAATATCAGTGTTGAGTAAACTTTGTATTATCTTAATGGTCTTTACCTAGTCCATGACATGGTCCTGTGAATATCAGTATATCAAGTAATCTTTGTATTACATAAAATCAGTATCAAGTAAGCTATGTATTATATAATTGGAATATGAGTATTTATCTAGTCAATGGCACGTTCTTGCGAACATCAGTATCAAGTAAGCTTTGTCGCCAAGTTATCGGAATTCCAATGGGTACTAACTGTGCATAGCAAAGACCCATAGAAACAACATCTGATACAAAAATGTAATAACACTTGTAGATATTCAAATGATATTTTGGCTCTCAATAATGACGATTTTAGTATGTACACAAAAGAGATGTATCCTGTTGAAATTACTTTACAAAAGCTTATACTTACAATGAACACGGTCCTTTCCATGATCTTGATATCTATATCCCGAACGGAAAGCTCAATACTATCATTTACGATAAAAAAAAAAGATGAGTTCTAATTTTCTATTGTCAATTATCCGTTTTTATGTGGTGACTTTCCCTTGGCACCATCGTAAGGCATTTTAATATGTAAAATTTATCAGTCGACAACGAGGGAAGGAGGGGGGGGTTTAACGACCTTGACTACCCACGAGAGTCCTGCACGGTCGGTTTTTATCAGTGATGAGTCTTATGTAGACGAAACGCGCGTCTAACGTACACAATTTTAATCCTGGTATCTATGATGAGTTTATTTGCATTTAAGTTAAAAGATATGAAATCGATATATATTATATTTGTATCAAATAAAAGATTTACGTGCATGTATATTATGCGCTTCAAGAAACACACTGGTCTCCGTACAGCCATAACTGATAGATATATGCATTTCATATAGTATTAATATATTGCTTCATCTCAACACAGAGGGAGTTGCTGTACACCTTCAGTTATTCTTGCTGCTGTGGACACTGATGGTTATATAGCGCAGTGTAAAATAGAATTTTCAGGAGGACAGATTGTAACACCAATGAAATTTTATGACATCGATGATACCCAAGTGAACACAGACAAATCGGTAACATAATAATTATGGTATATTTGTAAATGTATTAGGGTATTGATCCTTCCAAACTGAAATGGAAAAAAATATATTTGTATTAAGATAGTCAAATAGATCATGGAAGTATAACTATATCAGGTAGGATTTGTTTGAAACATTGAATCCATGAAGACATACATTGGAGATTCTCTCATCTATACTATCAGTTACAAAACGTGCAACAACAAAAACAAAATAATTTCAAAAAGCACAGGCAAAAAGCTAAAGGATTATTCAAACAAAAATCAACAAATATTACGCGTTATTACATATGTTTAAAACAACGATTAGTAATATAAGAATAGGTGAAAAGGCGTTTACTATTCAATTTGATAAGTGTTCAATATAAAAAAGAAGATGTGGTATGATTGCCAATGAGACAACTCTCCACAAGAGACCAAATAACACAGAAATTAGCAACTATAGGTCACATTACGGCCTTAAACAATGAGCAAAACCCATACCGCACAGTCAGCTATAAAAGACCCCGAAATGACAATGTAAAACAATTCAAATGAGAAAACTAACGGCCTAATTTATGTACAAAAAATGAACGAAAAACAAATATGCAACACATAAACAAACGACAACCACTGAATTACAGGCTCCTGACTTGGGACAGGCACATACATACAGAATGTGGTGGGGTTAAAAAGTGTTAGCGGGATCCCAATCCTCCCCCTAACCTGGGACAGTGGTGTAACAATACAACATAAGAACGAACTTTAAAAATCAGTTGAAAGAGGCTTAACTCATCAGATAGATAAAAATACAAATACTACGAATACAAGAGGACGTGGCCTGGTACTTGTACATCCAAACAACAAAAAGACACTAAGTACAGATCTGAGAGTACTCGCAGTTACTGACAGCTAGTTCAAAGCCACCAACAACTAATAAAAAAAATCATGCATCTAAGACTAAATTATCAATCCGTACACATCCAACATCCAATGTCTTTTAAACAGAAGTTAATTAAAAAAAGAAATGAACAAACTTTATATCTTTGAAAAAATGTTAATGTCGTTGACACATTTCATTCATCCATCATGATCGAGAAACAAATGCTACACAAGCGTAAAGTACAAAAATCATACACGTATTGTCGTTGTTTTTTTCTTTTCTATAGCACTACAGTGCATATAATGAATGTATGTTTTGTCGTTATCACAGTTAACTGTCATTAAATTATTGATATTTTCCTATATGGGATGACCATACGGTGACTTCTAAGATATTCACTTTTGCACCCTTGGTTCTATTATGGCTTTCACCATTACGGATTGAAACCATATTTCCCCATTTACCTGCACATGCGTGAAATACATACACGTGAAGGTAAACCAAACATCAATCCATCAACCAGATGTGACAATATATGTAAACTTTGACTATTTTCATTACGGTGAAATATGTTGTCTGACTTCACAACTAAACCAATATATTATGGCGTCAATAAAGGTTAGACTTGCGCGAGGGATTAGGCAGCATATTGTCAATGATTACTACTAAAAACTAAAGCAGCAGTTGGAACTTTTAGAGAAAAAAATGTTAACTTGTACACTAATTGAAATTAACGAAATGTCAATATCGGAGACATTGCTCAGTCTTCAGTTTTCTATGTTGTGTTTTGTGTACTGTTGATTGTCTTTTGGTGTTTTTTTATCAATGGCTTTGCCAGTTTATTTTCGACTTATGAGTTTGAATGTCCCTTTGCTATCTTTCGCCTCTCTTCTATGTATATTAACTATGCAGAATTTGAATTTAGTATTAATACTAATTTCAAAAACATTTAGGAAGTACAAACACTGCGCGTAATGTCTCTGCAATCACTTTTCCTCATTTTTTTATATTACATCATATGATTTGTAGTATTAAACTAATTTCTAATTGAACTTCGGAAACTGTATTTCATATTTTTTAGGATGGTAGTCATACAGAAATTGTCATACCGATAGTAGTGAGTGCCATCATTGTTGTTGTTGTTTTGTCGATTCTAGGTTTCATTGCTTACAGAAAATATAAACAGGCATCATATAATGTAAGTTATAATGTAAACCAAAACATTGGAGGAGGAATAGACAAAAATCAACCAACAAGTAGTGTAGAATACCATCCAGTCAAATTAACAGAGGTTAGTGACGAGAAGGAAAACCTTTGAAACAAATTGCAAAACTATTATCTAAGTGTTTTCTTCTTGAAAAGTTCAAAATATCAGACTCTATTATTACTTTGTATTTCTTTTGCAACAATCATATTTTTGTTTTGTATGTAGATGTATGGATCTGCGGTGACTGTGTGCATATTGACTTTTCATCATATGTGTATAATTTCTGAATAAATAGTCATGAACGTTTTTGGTGTGCGATCTTGATTTAATTTTTATCACACTTACAGCTATCATGCAGTAATTGCTCATTAACATGATATTGCATGTGTTGCTGATTTTGAAGATATGATTAAACATCTTTGTCATTTCCTTATATGCCTTAACGAATGAAAAAAACTAGGTGTGTCTGCATGACACAATTGTTCCCTGCATGGAGCTTTATTGCGAAAATTCAGCGATTCCCCCTCCCCCCCCCAAAAAAAAAAAACGACGAATCGTTTATCGAAACACAAACGCGATCTGTAAATCGTCATAATGTATCAAACATCTACTGAAGATATATATTTCATAAAGGTCCTGAAAGTAAACACTGATGAACTTAAAATCAGGAGATTAAGATTCACATGCAGTATAATTAATTGATGGTTGTTTTAACGCCACTTTCATCGCCCTTTGCTACATCATGGAATCCATTTATCATTCTTGGAGAAAGCCGAATTGTAGGAATACTGAACATCCGAGTCTAAAAGACCGGACCCTACATGCATCTTAAAATAATTTAATTTCAAATGATGGATAGCAATGCACTTTAAGCAAAACTTCCTCTTGAAAATCAAAAATAGTATATTGAGAAAGTAGCAAGGTAAAATATCATCATTGAATGATCGGTTATCTGTATTAGTTAACACAGTTGTTTCCATAACGAAACCTGTTTAAAATAACTCTATGGAAAAAAAAACACTAGTCTTATGAAATAAACAAATAAGTAAAAAATTCTTTTAAAACTGTTATAGTGGCAACATGCTTCTCCGGAAATTTCCGTCAATACTTTAACATGTTATGAAGCTTGTCATTTGTTTCATGACCTTGCCATGAATCAGGCTAATGACCGATAGATCAAGTTATTATACCATATGCCAAGCTTTAAATCGATTTTTGAAAAGTTAAAATACATTTAATCCTGACTATCCATGATCTGCTACCAATACCAATACCAATTCTCTAAATGGCAAAAAAACAACATTAAGATATAACAAAAGACGTAAACTAACGAGGTTCTTAACTTTGAACAAGCATATGAATGTGAAGATCTCTTTTTTTTCATGTTGCTCATTCTAGTAACAATACTATGGAAAGCACGGACAATAAATTAAATTGGAGGTATGCATTTTAATCCATAAAATATATATTACAGATAATAATGACGCAGGTTGTATCTGTCTTGTATATCCTTACCCAGAAAATCTGAAATCGTTTTTTTATCAAGAGAAGCGGAAGATACCAAAGGATATTCAAACTCATATGTGAAAAAGAACTGACAATGCTATTTCAAAAAACCCAAAACGACCAAAAGACAATCAACACAGAACAAAACACAACATAGAAACTATATCCTGCTGTCATGTGCATGTATCATTCGTCGCACTATTTCAAAGTATTATTCAGTAGTGAGTATCGAAGACCACTAATACTATCCGATTGACATTGACAAAAATGAGGTCTATGACAGAGTTACAATGTTACCCGTAAGTTGAGAAACGTAAATACTATATCGATTAACAAATTCACAATGATCATTGAAGAACTTATGAAAAGAATTTCAGTCGTTTTTCATTACCTTGCCTTTAGCATGTTTAGGTTATGCTACCCTCTCTAAGAGTGAAATTGCCTTATTGAAACAATCTTTTGTATATCGTATTTAACCGATATACGTAACGCCGTAGATTTGGACAAAGGGCATATTATTGCACAAACACATTGAAAGAGTTAACATTGATAAAAATGAAACCATCAAGTTGTCGGGATCTGCTTACCCTTCCCGAGCACCCAAGATCAACCCCGATTTTTGGTGGGATTCGAGTTACTCAGATCTAGATAGAATTAATCAGTGGCGCTCATATCAGTTGGCCAAATCATGTACAAAGTTAAAGAGCATTCAAGACCATAATAACCAAATTTTGTTTAAAATCTGACTAAAGTTCATATATGCCTAGGGTATCAATACATTAGTGTTAACATGATTTAAAACTCGATTAAACCCACCGCGTATTGTACCTGGACCAAGTCAGGTTATATGGACTATGCGCTGATAGTTGTTTTTTGTCTTTGTACGTTTATTCATGTTGGTGTAGAACTGTGTTATGTTGATGTGGTGTGTATTTTCAAATATTCTTGGTAATTCATGTTTCCCTTTTTGTGTTTACAACATTGGTGGCGAAGCAAGATAGATCCTCATGATTATAAGAATTCCAGGTATTTTTATAAAAAAACATTTTTTTTTTAAATATCCATTATATATACATGTAATGTTTCAATGAAAACATTTGTACATAAATTATTTGTTGCATATTATTATCAAGAAATATATTCTACATGTTGACAGTGTTGGAACGAATGTGGATACATTTGTTTGCACTTTATTTGGTAGCTAGGAATATGATAGTTGTATATATGTCCTTTTCATATTAGAAATTAACAATTACTTTCGACTTTACTACGAAAGAGGTAACGTGTATTTCCCTCCCCTGAACTATCCGTTTGTATGTAGCTACATCCAAACAGCATAATCATGTGTTCCTCAAAGTTTATACAATACTACTACAGTAAATGGATGTCTTTGGAAGAGATTTGTAGCTGACAATGAAGCTACAGAAACAAACATTGTTAATTGTAAAGTCGAAGTTATCTTTTCGATAGTATCACGGACGATATAAACACTTGACTGACGTGAATGATCATAGAAATTTGCCATTTGTTAGAGCCACAGTTCCATTTTACCATTTATGATTATCATCACATTTGACTTTTCTTTTCTTATTTTTAAATTTTAATTGATCTTCACGACTGGTGCCCCTAGTTCAACAGAAACATTTTAGCCCTCCGGAACACCTGATTTAAAAAATGATTTTGCTATGATTGGAGCTGCTCAATCTCTAGTTTGCTGTCGAATGTGACGTATACTCCATATCTCTTTCAGTGTTTTAATGAATTGTTTGTCTTCTTGTCTTTATTTTTTTGGGGGGTGGGGGGAGTGAGGGGCTGTCGTATTTTGGCTTCTTTTGAAGTACTTCATGTTTTAATCTAGTTAGTATGAATCTATTGTAGTCTGCTACTTGACATTGACTGATAAATCGAAGTATTATGGTTAGTGCTTCGTTCATTTACTTTAGTGATTTTAGGTTCAGAAAGAGTTTATTCTAATTGAAAATCGAAATATATTTATACTAAAAATTAAATCTGCATCCAAACTAGTAAATATATAAAAACAAAAGTTCCAAATGCACTAAAAATCCTTTAGTTAACTACATTCTCCAATGTTTTATTCAGAAGCTATAAATCCAACTGTTCCAAAAATGTTGTAAAGTTAAGCATACACGGCATACTATCGACCATACACAGCGGGTTGGTTCTACATAGAGGTTGATTTAAAGCCGACAAACAATTGATCCATTCAACATCTAGTTGATTCACATGGGTACTGCAGTTTTGATTGATTTCAGTACAGAATACCTCCTGTCTCTGTTCCTCGTCACATCTTCCCATGTCAGTTACGGGAAACAGCAATAATAAAACAGGGAACAACCGAAGTGATGTCCACACCTACAATGAATAGAGATAAACACTGTTAAATTATACTAAATAGGTTTAATCCAGATAAATCTTCTCTTTTTGATCAAACACACAAAAATCTGGATGCAAGTTGCATTTTACATGGCCCCAAAGTTTAATCCTTAACACACGACATAATTAATATTTACACTTAGTTACTTATGGTGTGACGGTTGCTAGAAATATAAAACAAGGACATCAAATTATTCTAGATTGTGTGACTAAAACAATATTTGTAAAAAACAGGATAGGTTATTAAGGATCAATTGCCAAAAACGTTCAAATAAACATTACAAAACAAGGTGTTGTTGCTTAGAAATAATCGATAGGTTACACTGTAAGCTCTACCAATCGTTAAATATATTCACCGCGATTTCAAGGTAAGATGTCATAAATATCTACTTGTCATTAAAAATTAAATTCAGGTTGCAATGTTGAACCAAGTATATATTATAGAAGACAGAAGTTATAGGTAAACACTGTGATAAATTATTAAATCGAGTTTCAATTTTGCTTTCTATTTACAAAACTAAAATCCACTTGAAATGACAAAACTCAAGTTGTTTTAACGATAACGCTAATACAGGGACTTTTTATATGACGCCGTGACAACATATATTGTGACTTCATGGATCCTAGACATCAATTTTGCTTTCCATTTACAAAACTAAAATCCACTTGAAATGACAAAAATCAAATTGTCTTAACAATAACGCTTATACAGGGACTTTTTATATGACGCCGTAACACCATATATTGTGACTTCATGGATCCTAGACATCAATTTTACTTTCTATTTACAAAACTAAAATCCACTTGAAATGACAAAAATCAAATTGTTTTAACGATAACGATTATACAGGGACTTTTTATATGACGCCGTAACATCATATATTGTGACTTCATGGATCCTAGACATGTGAACGATTTTGGTTTTCAATCACATCAAACCTAAAATGAAATACGAAGTTTTTAACTAAAAGTACAAATGTTAAGAGGGTTATGCCATATAAGTACAGTATCTCATCTGGCACTTTGAAAAGAAGATGTCTGTATGATTTAAGCCTGTAAACCCTATCGTGATATAGCTCTTTGCACAAATACTGCACCAATAAAACCTTACAACGTCAATGTTTCGGAAACGAAGCTTTTACTTCGTATAAGGTCCATTGGACGTCATCTCAAATTATTAGGTGGCACCTTGTGTTATGTGTTCCCCAAGGAAACATTTCACAAAACGGTAAAAACGTTATTTATCGTATGCAAATGCACTATTTGCAGGTTCTTCGGGATAAATTTTTAAAGTGACATTCGTCTACGAGCAATAAGCATTCTTGTTTTTTTAAACCAATAATCGCAAGAGAGTTACTTTTATATTGTTCTTTGCTACTTTGTTGTCGCACTTTTAATAGATCAGT